AACTTCATGAAGGAGATTTATTAATTCCTCAGGGAGAGGAATTCAGAAGCAAATGGTGGCAATCAGCTGCCTGGTACAGAGCATCACAAGGGCCTCATCTTAGGCTCCTATGATGAAGAATCTTTGAGTCCATGTTGAAGAGAGTCTGTACAAACTCAGTGAAGAAAGCTGTTTTCGCTCTGCAGTTAAGGTCTCCTTGGATATCGTTAATATCAGCAACAAAGTCATGGCTATATTCAGATATGTTTCAAATGGCTCTCTTTGGAACTCCCAATTTTAATACAGAGGAGACCATGTTGATATGAAACTGTAAAAGCAAAGTGTAAAAGTAAAAAATATTATCAATGAATATAGCCCACAATGAGTCCTTAGAAAATTAGAGTATTCAAATGACTTCCCTTAATTGTTATGGAAAAAAGAAAGTCCCTAATGGGGATGCCGACCTTCCCTTGTTCACTCACTGTACAAGATTCTGTGCAGCAAGGAGCTCAACATAGTTGTTACCAATAATAAAATGGCATGATTATAGACCTAACTGTTTAATTGTTTTATTTTTGTGACTATGATTTTGATAGCACTCCACTCCCAACAATAAGAACAATATAATTTTCTGAGTGACTTCTATGATCAGTAAGTGAAGCATGTTACAAGTGTTGTATCCTTCCTACACCTTTCTGAAGGAGACTTCATGGCTCTGGTTTCCATAACAGAGATATGGCATTCTAGAGATTAAGAAGCTTCCAAAGGTCATGAGCCAGAAGAGAGTTATGGATCGGAGGCACGTATTCTGACTACCAAGCACTGGATCTTAACCAGAAATTTGTTCTTTTCTGCTCAGACAATGATTCTGCCTTTGGGTTACCATTGGTAATATTGTAGAATATGAACTAAGTGTTTCCTTGGTGTAGTGCAAAGCAAAAGTGAAAACTGAAACTGTTGGATAAGTCCAGCCTTTGAATAAAGGTTTCTCAAGTGTAGAATTACTGGTCCCTGATGCTCCTAAACCAGCGACACCTTCATTGTCCTACCAATGGAAGTGGATGACTCCTGGTTGATGGGCCACAGGGGGGAGGATTCTCTCTACCACTCCACCAGGAAATCTATCGTACTCCGTGAAGCTTTGTATACACCAACACAACCCAGATTAGACTGGAGCCATTATTAGACTGGTATTCATCAGGTCAAAATACAGCTGTATTCAAGTGCAAGAATAAGATGCAAGGGATAAAGCACTGGATGTCAACACAGGGTTCCCATAGTCATCCCTAAAGCAAAGAGCCCTGGATTCAATTGGCAGCAAAGGAAATCTAAAGGACAAAATGAGGTGCTCTGGTTACTTGAGGTTCTAAGGAAGGGGGAGTTAGCCACCTCGTCTGGACAGGCTGAGGTACTGCAGAACCTTTTCCTTATGCAGAATTCACTATGAGCCTGGGTTTAAGAAAGAGCAGAGTGTAGAAAGTATCTAAGGCTGGCAAAATGGAAATAAGACCGGGATGATCAGGACTTAACTAACAGGCTTAAGGAAGCATCAAGCAAAAGAAAGAACCACAGTGCTACTTCTGGCCCAGGGAATCCAGGTCAAAAGGAAAGAAACTGTAACATAGTACCTGTTTTTTCTAGGGTAAAAATTATTGTGGGTTTCAATACAACACTAAATATAACAATTTTAAATGGCAAACTCTTTGTCCCATCTTTCTGAAGACTGGTTACAAAGCTGGATTGAATTCATGTTACCCACACGGGTTCTGTAATGAATTTGCTGAAGGCTCCAGCAAAGGTTTTCTCGGAAATAACACACGAATAACCTTAGGATGCATCAACTCTTTTAACAATGCTGTGCAAATCCCTAAGTGGTTGTACTACGCTCTTTTAGTTAGTAGTATAGTAGAAATTCGTTTGTGAAACCCCAAGTTCAAAGAGATGAATACAGCCATCATATACGACAGAGACAGCCAATAGAATGTGCTCCTGTTATTGGAATGGAAATTCCCACCTCCATAGGTACATTTCTTATTTCTGGCTCTCTAGCCTGCAGCAGCCACACTACTTCCTTAAGCACAGCTGCCGTCTCCCACAGCCTTGTGCTGGTGATGTAGACCTTGATAATTCTTGCAATAAAAATCCAGTCATGTATGACATTTAGGAGGTAGGGAGCAAAAGGTTTAAATTGCCTTGGGGCACTGGAACCATTATAGAGTTGTCTTTAATGAGAAATGGAAGACAAAGAAAATTAGAGGCTCAGAGACTGAGCCAAATCAAAATGGTTACCAAATCACTAGGCATGGGGCTGCCTCTTGATTGTAGATAAAAAGTAGGTGGGGACACTTAATGTAAGTTTTCTTCAAGAATCAAAATTGATCTATCAATTTCCCAGTAGAGAAGAGTAAAGAGCAAGATGCCACTTTAATACGTTTTCGGGTGCTGAGAAGATGGACTTGGGGCACCACAGGGTACCCTAAGAAGACCAGCTCTTTAGGCACCCTATATTACAAAATACTTAACTTTAAGAAAATCAGGTAGTGTTTGCTAGACAGTCCATAACAGCAAGTACACTGCCATGCTTCCCACAAGAGCTATCCCAGTGAAGTACACTTCACTCACATTTCCGTTTCATTCTCTCACTCTCTGTTTCATTACCCCCTTCTCCTTTCTATGAAGGTAGTGGAATCTTTAGCTACGAGCTTCTCTCTGTGACCTTTAGAAGCAGCCACTTTTCTCTCTCACAGAAGCCCCCCTTTCCTAGACTGTGAGCCAAACAACTGCCCCTCACTCTCCCTGGAAGTCGGGGCTTTTATAGCATTTTTTTAGCAGACAACATACTCTAGCTGAGTGATGGGGACCTACTGTGTCATCTCATGTGTCAGCGATCTGTGTTGTCTAACTGAAGTCTGCATAGATGGCAGCCGCGCTTCCAGGAAAAACTCTGGACCTAACAAAGAATGGAAACTGTTCTATGGCAGGAAGGATTCCTGAGAATTTCAGCACAAGAAACACCTTGAGCTTGTTCTGCCAAGCTCTTGGTCTAGAACCACACATGCGTGCTGTATAAAGTGAAGTCCTTCAGAGGACAGCCATGACAAGTGAACTCGGCTAGAAATGGAGGGGTCCCTACTCTGATCAAGAAACGGAATCACCAGGAGATTCACACCCACAAGATACTGATACTGAAAGCATGCTAGTTCAGAGCCCTGATTCTTACACGGCTCCCCCACCCGCACTCCACCCCCAACCTAGCAAAGGACTAGAACCTAAATACCAATCACTGAAGCCTGGATTCCACCCCAGAGATTGCAAATTCACTAAATCTGGGGTGTGGCCTATTCACTGGGGGTTTAAAAACTTCCCAGTAGATCTGAGGGCCAGTCAGGGATTAAGAGTCCTTGACCGGTGTCCAGACAAAGGCTGCTTCTCCCACCCTACATCTTTGCTGCACAGTCAGACTGGTTACTGGGACGCTAATTTCTCCTCGCTTAAGGCCTGACAATCAGACCTGCGCTGTAAATTTGAGGGGCGAAGGACTTGAACTCCCAAGTCCCTGAGTTGCAGCTCTTTCTTCTGTCTCCAGCATATCGCTGTCCCTGGAATCGTACTACTAGCAAGCTGTGCTTTAAAAGCACAAACTTGGAGCTCTGCTTGAGGACTGCCGCCTCAGAGTCTGCAGCAGCTTCTATCCTCAGCATACGCTGTATTTGAGTCTGCATCCGCAGGTGTGTCTGATGGGCAGCCAGGTTTGGGACTACTGAGTTCCACAGTGGGACTAGCCTTTTATCCTGCCAAGTCATTAAGGATTTGTAAGGATGAATGAGCTGTCTTGGGAGCGAGGGCCTACTGCAATGCTCCTTTATTAATTATGGGGAAGTGATGTATTGGCAATGGTAGGGCTTCTCTTGGAAAGGACAATGAATGGTTCGTCGATTGCTGCATTAGGTCTTTCCTGACTCAGTCTTAAATGCTCAGGGTTTTTTACTCCTGTCTGTAGTTTAAAAGCCGCACACCATTAACACTAAAGGGCCTCTAGGTCTTTATTCCCTTGTAAGCAGCAAGGTGTGAGGGAAATAGCAACACTTTGGAGTCTTTCAAAGATCTCCGCCGGGGAAACCCTTGCCCTAGTCTGGATTTGATCCGCAGCATCTAGTAGCTTGGATATATTTCTTCTTATCTAGATAATGAAGGTGAAACACAGAGTACGGATTTAAAAAAAAAAATCGGCGATACATCCCCAGATTCCCTTTGCTGTATAAAGCTTGCAGTAGCAGAGAACTAGAATGTGGAGGAAGAAAGATGTATCTGGAGTAGCAAATTCCAGGGTAAGGAAGGAGTAGGCGATTTGGGGTGTGTGTTTGGGGTGGTGGGGGGAGCTGTCTATAGATCAGTCTAGCCAGGTTCAAAAGAAAAGTTGCAGCGGCACGGGTCTGCGCCTATTGGGGTGCAGGAGAGAGCGCTGGCTTGTGTGGTTTGTACGCACTGCGGGGGGGCCCCACAGCCTGGGAAATCCAGCCACTGGAGGAGCAGAGGAGACCCGCTGGTTGCCACCGCTGCCTGCCGGACTCTTGCTCCCGCATAGCACCCGGGGGTAGCGCGCGGGGTAAGGGGAGGCGGGAGACGGAAGGAGGCGGCGGGCCCCACTCGGGCGAGCCAGTGCGAGGCTGG